TTGTGATTTTTCTTTTGCATTGTAAGAGCTCTTTATATATTGGATATTAGTTACCATAAGTTTTTCCACATATTCTCTCCCATTCTGTGGGTTGTCTTTGGGGGGGGTGGTAGTATTCTTTTTAACCTATTTATTCTTTGGGAATTTCACAAATATATTCAATGTATTTTGATCTCCACCCTATCTAACTCTTCCTGAATCCCCCCACTATGTCCCTCTCCCAATTTCATGTTTCTCTCTCTCTCTCTCTCTCTCTCTCTCTCTCTCTTTCTCTTTTTGGTCTTTTTGAGGCAGGGTCTCCCTATAGCCCCAGCCGGCCTGGAACTTACTATGTAGACCAGGCTGGCCTTGAACTCACAGAGATCCACCTGCCTCTGTCTCCCAAGTGCTGGGACTAAAGGTGTGCGCCACCACACCCAGCTATGTTCACTTTTTTAAAACAACCCAGAGTCCAAACTTAGTGCTACCCAAATGTACATGTGTGTGACACTTGCATTGGAATATGGTCAACCTAATCAGGGCCACACCTTTGAAGAAAACTGACTCTTCCTCCGCCAGCAGCTATCAACTGCCAATAGTTCCTTGGCTTGGGGGAGAGAGGTTTGTGAGCCCCTCCCTCATCCATGAGGGAACATTGACTGACTTGATCTTGTGCAGGAAACCACAGTGTCTGTGAATTCTTGAGTGCAGTAGGCCTGTTGTGTCCCAATGATACCACTTTGTAGCAGTCTTCCTGATCTCTGACTCTTACAATCTTACGCCTGCCTCTTCTGTGATGTTTTCTGAGCCTTGAGGTCAGGGGATGTGACATAGATGTCTCGTTGGGGGCTGAGCATGCCACAAACATTTCTTCTCTGCACTTTGACAGACTCTGAGTCTCTTTAGTAACCACTTTCCACTGCAAAAAGGAGCTTCTGTGATAGGTACTGAGAGCTGGCCCAGAAGGTATAGAGATAAGTTTTTAGGAGACAGTTTAACACTATGTCAGTTAAAAAGTTAACAGGTTGTTCCCTAAGGCCTATCAGCTCCCCTATGAGTCCTTGGTCAGATTTACAGTTACCAGAATGAGGTTGTGGAGTGGACCAATAAGAAAGCAGTTGGTTACTCCCTTAGCATTCATACCACTATTGCACCCATGGGCATGTCCTGTGAAGCTGATTCCTACTGTAGTTCACAGGGCTCAGAGTTGAGTAAAGCTGCTGTTGATCTTTGTCCTCCAGCAGACTGCTGCTGATGCTGTCTAACTTACTCATTTTTCTTTTGTTGTTTGTGATTTTGGTGCCGTATTTAAGAGGTCATTGTTTTACCTAATGCTATGAATTTATACTAATGTTTCTAAGAGTTTTATAGGGTTTTTTGTTTTTTTGGTCTTTTTGAGACAGGGTCTCTCTGTAGCTCCACCTGACCTGGAACTCGCTATGTAGACCAGGCTGGCCCTGAACTCACAGAGATCCACCTGCCTCTGACTCCCAAGTGCTGGGATTAAAGGTGTGGAACCACCATGCCAAGCAAGAGTTTTAGAGGTTTTTAAAAATTATTTTATGTGTACGAGTATTTTGCATGCATGCATATATAGTGTACCACATGTGTGTAATACCTGATGATGTCAGAAGAGGTGCTGGATCCCCTAGAATTGGGCTTACAGATGGTTGTTAGCTGCCATGTGGGTGCTAGGAACCAAACCTGGGTTTTCTTCAAGAGCAGCCAGACCTCTTAACCCCTGATCCATCTCTCCAGCCTTGAGTTTTATAGTTTACAAAATTTTACATTTATGTCTCTGATCACGCATGCATTGTTTTTACAGTGTAACAAAGACAAAGATGATATTATATTTCTTTATTATTTTTCTATATTTTTAATTTTTGAGGCAGGGTCTCTCTGTGTAGCCCTGCCTGGCCTGGAACTTGCTATGTAGAACAGGCTGCCTTGAACTCATAGAGATCCACCTACCTCTGCCTCCGGAGTGCTGGAATTAAAGGCATGTACCACACACCAAATGTAATATTACATTTATTATTAGACTAAGTATAAGTGGACAAAATCTTTAAAATGTTGAAAGAAAAAAAACCTGTTAACCTAGAATTCTATAACTGGCAGAAATAAATTTCAAAATAAAGGCATTTGTCAGCATAAAAAAGCTAAAAGATGTTCTGAGGGCTGGCCATCTCTCAGCAATGGTGTCAGCATGCACAGGCCCCAGGCAAACTCCATCAGACAAAACCCAGCATAGAACTGGGAATAGGGAAGCAGTCCTATCCTTTGCCAAAGAACTGTTGGCAGCTGATTACTGCTGAGTGAGGGACAGTTGAGCTTTAAGAGACAGACTTTAGATAGACTGGCTAGTTCCACCTAGTTCAGTGGATGGACTTG